TAACTGCAAATGAAACTTTTACTTATTTATATTTTTTAAAAAAAGACAAATGATGGGGCTGGGGATTTAGCTCAGCGGCATGAGTACCTGCCTTGCAAGCAGGCAGTCATGGGTTCGATCCCTAGTACTTATAAAAAGGAAAAAGACAAAAAAAGAAAATGTATAAAAAAGACAAATGACAAAGCTGGATAAAGAAAAACCTCATTTACTTTGCATCTGAGGAAGTTACTTGTTTCTAACATTTCCTCCTAAAACTTGGCTTCCCTAAAGCAGCGTGAAAGAAAATGAGTGACATATTTAAGAGGGTTAAGAAATTTATGTGCTGATTCTAAGCAGCAAAGGCAAGGCAAGAGGCATCACAATCCCTGACTTGACGTTATACTACAAATTTACTGTAATAAAATCAGCATGGTACTGGAATAAAAACAGACCTGAAGATCAACGGAATAGATTAGAAGATACAACTACATCTACAAACACACTGAGCCACCTTATCTTTCATAAAGGGGCTAAACATTCACTGGAAGAAAGATAGTTTCTTTAAAAATGGTGCTGGAAAAATTGGCTTTCCATATGCCAAAAACTAAAATTAGAACCATGCCTATCACCATGTACTAAACTAAATTCTATATGGATCAAAGATCTAAATATTAAAACAGAAACAGTAAATGTGTTGGAAGATAAAGTACATAGAAATCTTAAAGACATAGGGGTAGGTAGAGTATTCATGAACAAGAATCAAACTCCATGGGAAATATTTCCCAGAATCAATAACTGGGATCATGTCTTATTAAAGAGTTTCTGCATGTCAAAAGAAATCTCCAGCGTAGTGAAAAGAAAACCCACAAATTGAGAAAAAATCTTAGCCAACTGTCCCTCAGACAAAGGACTTCTGTCTAAAACATACAAAGAATTAAAAAAAAAAACTCAGACTCCCGAAATTCAAAGATCCAATCCAAAAATGGGCATCTGAGATGAATACGCAATTCTCAGATGAAGAAATACAAATGGCAAATAAATACATGAAAAAATGTTCAGCATCATTGGTCATTAGAGAAGTGCAAATTAAAACCACACTGAGATTCCATCTCACTCCAGAAAGAATGGCCAGGATCAAGAAAACTACAACAAATTCTGGAGAGGCTTCAGGGAAAAAGGAACTCTCCTGCACTGTTGGTGGGAATGTAGACTGGTGCAACCATTGTGGAGGTCAGTCTAGAGATTCCTCAAAAATCTGGGATTGGAAGTGCCATTTGACCCAGCTATTCCACTTCTAGGCATATTCCCAGAAGAACTGAAAGCATCATAATCACAGTGATATATGTGCACCTATGTTTATAGCAGCACAATTTGTAATAGCCAGATCTTGGAAACAACCTAAATGCCCAACAACTAAGGAATGCATAAAAAAGATGTGGTATTTTTATACAATGGAGTACTACTCAACTATAAAGAATAATCACATCGAGATACTTATAAATAAATGGATGCAACGTGAGACCATATTCATAAGTGAAATAAATCAAACTCACAAAATCGTACTGTACAGTCTCCCTAGTGTAAGAAATGGTAAGAGTACATAATATTTTATGGTAATCATGGTTTCCTACTATATTGCTTTGAAATCTTATAATATTTTCACTCATTGGTTGGAATGGTTTTATTCTGTTTTGTTTGATTTTAGTATGTGTGACGGTATGAACAGCCACTTTGAAGAAAACAAGACATTATGGCAGCCATTGCTGATTTACTATCATTTTGCTTTGAGATCCTGCCATGCTTCTGTTCTTCTGTTTCCACCCTGTTGTGTCTTATTGGATTTTAATATATGTGATAGTATAAACAAATTTTTAAAGAAAATGAGATATTATAGTAGCCGTTGTTCATTTTCTATTATTTGGTTTTGAATGTCCTGTAATACTTTCATTTTCTTGAATGGTTTTATGCTATTTTGTTATGTTTGATGTTATTGTATGTGAAGGTATGCGCAACTATTTCAAAGAAAAGAGACATTATGGTAGCTACTGTTGATATCAGGCTGTCTTGTGAAGTGCTGTGTTGCTTGCATTGTTCTGTTCTGATTTGCTTTGTTCTCTTTTGTTTTATTCTCTTTAAAATAAAATAAAATAAAATAAAAAGAAATTTATGTGCTGTGAAAGGATTTCCAGTATGATAAAGATGAGCAATTCTCCTCTCTGTCAGTATATGTACAAAATAAAAGAGGCCCAAGGTACTGATGTAACTGTATGAAAAACAAAGGAACTTGTGGCAAAGGAATAGTTAAAATACTTGAATTGAAAACAAAGAGAAAAGTGATCATTTTTACAGCTTGGTTCTAGTTACTGAATATTTGACTCAGAAGACTAGCACATCTGTATTTACATGATCTGGAAGACATAAGTTACCAACACAGGAAAATTCTGGAAACATAAAACTTCTTAAGTATCCAATGAAGTTATCTAGCAAGTCATTTTCCTCCTCATTGCTGAAGTCTCTACCACATCTGGCATGACTATGCCATCTAGTGGCTTCACAGCGACTGCCTGCAGTTAGATTCAGTTGGGTAAGATGTTTTGAGTATCTGTTAACTATAGTATAGGAGAACGAGAGGAGTCGATGACATCCCCATGCAGTTATTTCCACAGGAGGCGAGTCACAGGGTGAGCATCACAAAAATGCCTACTTTCAGACCACCAGTTCCCTCATCTACAGCATCCATGTGGCTGCATCACAAGCTCTGTTGTCTCAGCTGCTGCCCTCCAGAAGTTTATATGCCAGGAGAGGCAATGCAGACCTCTGTTTATAAGGTAATAGGAGATAAAGCACCAGAAATAGAGAATAAGAATACAGAAGTAGAACCCCAGAACCAACGGCCATCCTTCCAAAAAGCGTTGACGTCCTTCACATGGCAATAATCCCAACCTCCTCCAATTTGTTGCTCTGAAATTTTGGTGACCTTCAATAATTTGAGCACTAATGTTAAACCCCAGGCCTGCTACCTCCTGCCTTTCCCTGATTTTACTGGCATCACCTCACATCTCCCTTGTACTCTCATTAATACTCTTATAAGTTTGTCCACAGCTCTCCTGTGTCCCCAGTTCTGTGCAGTCCTCTGCTCAGATACCTGCATCCTCAACTGTGAAAGGAAATGAACTCAATGCCAACCATGTTCAAAGAGTCAGAGGAAATTTGGGGAAGAAAAAGATGGAAAAAGTCTCCAGGAAAGAAAGAATTATCATTCAATGCACAAGTTACTCTGAAATAAATACTTCTTTCTTGTAACTCTATACCAGTAGTAGCGAACTGATGGTATGAATGTTGTTTTTTTCTTTTAAAACAGAAGTTGTTAATGTGTGAGATGTTTCTAAATCAAAACCTTGATATTCAATTGTAGTGTCAGCACTCTGAGATAAATGAGTGGGTTTTGAGCACTTGTCTCTAAAGGTTTGCCATCAATGAACTATACAAAACTACAATTGTAGGAATGGTTAAATAGCTGGGTTAAAAAGGAAGCATGGTAAGCCAAAATCCTTTCGGAAAAGTTTAAGAAACTGAAATATATTATAACTTTTTATAATGCTCTCTATCTTTGAAACTAGAGTATTCATGACACACAATTCACATAATATAAAATTCACCATTTTGAAGTGCATAGTTCAGAGATTTTTTAGTATACTCAAAAAAGTGTGCAACTTTTGTCTCAAACTAATTTTAGAGCATTTTTAATTACTCCCCAAATAAATCTTGTAGCTGTAGCAGTCACCCCTTATTCACCCTTTCCTGTTCCCGATTTCTCAGCAACCCCAAATCCATTTTCCATGTCTAGAGACCTACCTATTCTGGACACTTCATGTAGGTGGAATCGTGCAATCACTGAATGACTTTTGGTGTCTGACTTCTCTCATTTAATGTAACATTTTCAAATTCATCCATCTCTTGTTACGGTTCTTTATTCCTTCCTATGGTTGAATGGGGTTCTATTTTAGGTTATGCCACACCTCATGTGTATATACACATCAGTGGACAGACATTTGCATTGTTTCTCCATGTTATTTTTTTTTACTATTTGGAATAACCCTCCTATGAACCTTCACATACAAGTTTTATATAAACATGGTTTCAATAAAACATATGCTGAAGAATAAATGGATGATCTTTGGGGATAAAAAAGATCTCCAAGCTCAGAGAAAATAACTGCACAACTGTTCACACATCTATTCGACTACAAAGGTGTCTATAGAATCCCAGTCTTGGAGTCTCAGAGATTCCTCCCACTGGGGCAGGAGCATTCTCTCAATTTACTCAACAGTTGATCATTTACTTTAGTTTATTTATAGACAGGGAACACTTATTTACAAACCTCAGCCATTTTGTTTGTAATTTCTAGGAAGTTATAAAATTTTTATACATTTTATAACTTTCTGAAAAATTTGAGACCACCTGGAAAATCTTAAAATTATGCTATGCTTCCTTCTCTTCAGGTACTTCCCCTTAAGCTATTTCAAATGTTTCCCTTTTCTACAAATTCATAGTTCACCATCTCTGATGGGTTTCTCTAAATACTAAAATATGTCATTATATTCTAAATGGATACTCCTGAATTCCAGAAAAATGTGCTCTGGCCAGTGGGGAATACAATGAGAACAGTATCTATCTGTGCTTCAGAATACTGTGCTTCTTTTAATAAAACAGCCTAAGACTGCATGACATTAGCAACTATGCAATTTATTAGTGCAAACTGTGCTTGCATTAATCAGCTAAAATCACCAAGAGCTTTTCAAATGACCTGCGGTTACTCTCTGTTTCAGGCAGTTTGTTTTTGGACCTTGTGGGACTTCTTATTCTTCTCTATTAAGTACCATTTTTAAAATGCTGATCTATAATTCCATTCGGTTAAACTCTGGGCTCAACCCACCATCTGTCTCAAGCATATGTCAAGCACAAAATAGCAAGGTCTTTTAAACCGATCATTGCACAATTCTTTATTAGGAACTATATGAAAATCCTCCTGTCTGTGACAGCATTTCTTCTCACACTCTGTGATGACAGCTAATCTGCTCACTACCACACTATTACATGAAATCTCACTGCCCTTGGTAAATACTAGTTGCTCACTGAATGTTCGACTCAACAGTCTCTCAAATGCCAGCAAAGAGCTTTGCTGCTAAGACCCCTTTTGTAACGTAGGAGATATGTCCTGATAGTTTCTTGGTGATAATCCCACTGTTCAGCTATGTTAAATACATCATGGATACTTTCTGCACAGTTAAGGATTCAGTTCCTAATACAACCTTCTTTCATCTTCCAAGTTCTTGTGAAACTGAGGCAGGAAGATCACAAGTTTGAGCCCAGCTTGGGCAACTTAATGAATTAAGAAGACTATTTCACAATAAAAAAATTAAAAAGGGGATGTAGCTCAGGCCAGAAGCCTTGGGTTTAATCTCCAGTATCAAAAAACAAAACAAAACAACATCACTAAAGAAATTTTGTATTTTCAGACTTTTCTGTGTGTCAGGGTGTGTGCTAAGAATTTTGCATAAATTATCCAATCTTGAAAGCAAATTTACTAAGTACAGTTTGTATTCTCATTACAGAGATGAGGAAACAGGTACAGGAATTTAAGTAAATCATCCAGGTTCACACAGCTAATAATTGCCAGAGTCAAAATCCAAACCCACGTCAATTCTGATCTAGAGCAGGAAACCCTTTTTATGAGATCATGACTGTCACCTGCAAAAAGATAGGAAATACTATTTGCAAAAATATCCTATTGAGAGGGAACATTTTCTTAGCTACATCCAAAGATTTCTGCTAGTGATTGATACCTTTCATTCAGATAGTGCCTGACAGAGGAGCAGTTGCCTCAGGGAAGGAGGAAATTAATTAAGACTGAGAAGCAACTAATGCAGTTTGGCACATTTGAAAAGCTTCCTCTTCCTTTTCCTTTTTCTCCTCTTCTTCCTCCTCTTCTCTTTTTCTGTGTGTATGAAGCAAAAAAGGGAAGAGGAAAAATTACAAAATGTGAATGTTAATTAATTCCAAGAGCTGAATTCACTGTTTGTGGTGTCCCCTACACTTACCTGCATTTTTCCAGTTACCGGAGCTGTATTTCCAAAGCCCAGTCTGCAGAGGTGTGGGCACGCTGACATGTGAGAACTGCTGAGGCAGGGGCCATTCTTGCTGATGCCTCTGATTAGCTCCCAACATTAGGTTTTATTTAGAGTCAGGCCAGGCCATTAGGAAATGAACTAATGATAGTATGTTAGTTATGCAAATTGCTCACAGGTTGTGGCAACTCATAAGAAATCAAACACAGGGTTGGCAACTGTTGTTTCTAAGTTATGAGATCAGGAGAGATTTCTTTGTATGTATTTCATGCCTCTTCCAAATCCCTCACCTGCCCCCAATTTTTTTTCCTATATTCTCTTTTTATCTTCCACTGTTTTATAAATCAACTAGAAGTGTGTGTGTGCTAACCCAGTAACAATCTTAAATACAAGTAACTGTACTCTGGAAAATGGCCTCTCCTTGACCCCTGTTAGTGTATCCCAGTTTTGCCTCTGTCTGGTTGGTGTCCACCTAGTAAACTGCCACATCCACATTTTTATTCATATCATCCCTTACATTTGCTTTTGCTTTCTGCCTCTTAACTTTCCTGTTTCAATTCACTACATGGTGGGAAATTAAATAAGTCTGCTTTTTAGAATTGTCTGTAAACTAGAGTAGACAGCTTTAGGATGGGTTTTGTGATACTTCTTTAAGGCTCACAGGTTAAAAGAAATTCACCTTGGATTGGAGGGCATGAGGGAGAAAACTTCACAAATCCAAGCATCCACTAATCAGGTAATTTTTGTGTTTGATAGAAACTCTGTGCCCATCTTGTTTTCATCTCGACAGTGCCACGAATAAATTGCTGCTGCTGTCTTGAGGGAAATCAAAGCCATTGTGAGGATGTTCATGTTTTTCTATTTCCATGTTTTATTAGATGATTAAATTCAGTTTTCTAATAGATTTTTTTATTTGTAGTGCTAGAAATGGAACCTTGGGCCTAGTAATCTTACTGCTAAGTAAGCTACCGATAGCTTCTGACTTTTTTAAATTCAGCAATTTTTATTTAGAGCAATTCACTTAACAATTTGTGTCCAGTGGTTGTCATTTATAGTGGACTACACAGACCAATTTTGAAAACCACTCTGTTTTATGGATTATTAGTTAATGTATTATAATTGTACTTGTTGAGTATTTAAAATGTATTTTATATGGTTGCTTACATTTCTCCCAAATCCTTTGATCAGATCTATTGTGATCTGAGGCTACAGCCCACTGGAAAATGCTGTGTTTGGTTTTCAGACATGATTGAATTACTTCGATTCCATTTTAGAGTGGCTGTTTATTCTACCTGTCCTTTGTGATATTCAGTGATGATGCTAATTCAGTTTTATAGGAACATACTTGGGAATTTTTTTCTTGGAGTTAGACTATTTTGTATTCAGTCTCCAGTATTTCTGTTCAGACTGTGATAATCACATATAATATATAAAAGGTGCTTTATTTGATTCTTTAATAAACAGGCTTGGATGATGCTATCAAAGAGGAAGAATTCCAAAGGTTTTCTTCTGATTTCTGGAAGTAGGGCTTTGGACTATCAGAATGATTGCCAGCATCCATCGTGAGATATCTAACTTTTCTATAATCAAAAGACCCTTGCCCATGTTGACCTAATTGTTTTTACCTCTATTTGCTTCCTAATTGTCAGCTATGATTAAGAACCTTTACCACAAGTCTTCATTTTATAATTAATAATTCCAAATGAGCATCAGTAAATATTACCTGTAAGTTACTGTAAAAAAATCAATGAGGGAATAAACTGGTATTGATAAAAATAGATTGTTTTTAAGTGACTGTCACATATTCCAGTTTACTTGATATGATCAATCATAGAAATGTGGTATACAGAAGGAAAGGTGGCATTTCAATCATACTTGTCGTATGTAAGACTTGGAGTCATTTAATAACTCAGTATAGCCATTGTTGATTCCCTAAGGTCTTATTTTGGGAGTCCTATATTGTTTCCATTGTTTTGTTGCATTGGGTTTTGTTCTCTTTTGTTTTGTTTGATTACATTAAATCCCAGGACAGGGGCGGCTATTTCAAAGATAGCAAGATATATTATGGCAGCAACTTTGAATTTACTGTAGGCTTGTTTTGAGGTCCTTTATTACATTCATTGTTTTGTTTTTATTGTTTCTATTCCAATTCTATTGTTTGTATTCTGTTTGATTTTTACTATATCTGAAGTTATCTGAAGCTATTTTGAAGACATCAAAAGGCATTATAGTAACTATTGTGGATATCTCATAATAACTTTAAGTCCTTTATCTTTTATACTGATTTTTTTATTGTTTTTATTTTATATTCTCTTTAAAATAAAAAAGTAATATTTTTAAAAATTCAATACTTTGAGGTGAGCCATTTTTCTCACTGGCTGTGATCTATAGCTTTTGCTGTGACTGAAAATGCCTCTTATCATGTTAAAATTGTCTTGTATCATGGATTAATCAGGCCCCAACCTCTTTAAGGAGTGTATGGCAAATGGCTTAATTAAAGAGACAAGTAGTGTGATTTTGGGGGCTCCAGGAAGATCAGAACTCTCTCAGCAGTAAAGACAAAGAACTCCACTGGACAGCCTGTATTTACCTGGTTTTCAAACAAAGGAAGGAGATCCTGAGGCAAGGTGGGAATGGAGCAGGACCTTAGGAGGTTTGTTGAAAGACTTCTTCAAACATTAAATGTTGCCACTTACAGAACTATCAGATTTCTGTGGTTAGCAGCTTTATTGCTCTGGAATAGGGAGAGTCAGCAGCCTTGGTCCTTGGCTGTTTTAACTGTGGTGTCATCTTGACTTCCGAGCATTGTAAATATGAGCTTTTCCAACATAGTTAGAGGTCTCTTTGTGGTCAGCAACTTAACCCTTATATGACCTAGTCTCCAACAGTCTGAGGCTGCAGTTTTACGTTATAAAGAGCAAACACTGAAGTACTCCTTTTAAAAGCCTTTCCACTCTCAGCCCATTTTCAAGAGATCTTCTGTTTAGACAATTTGAGGTAATGTTATCATCTTGAATTAAGTTCTGTGTATTTGCACTCAGTGGCTAAAAGAAGGGGAAATACACCATATATGCCATCCTCCTAATTGCTTAACTCTCCTATCTTTTACGATTTTGTTATTCAAAAATGTTCAATCCTGTCAAACCTGAAATCTTTATTAAGATTAGACATATTAAAAATAAATGAGAAGGATTTGCGCATGTAATACATACTCAAATTGCATCAAGTATGGACTTAGCCATTAAAATAAATTATTCACGTAAATCTTTGGACATGAAGAAGTCTTAAGGAATTAAAGCTACTGTCTATGAACTTTTCCTGCTCTGCATTGGTTTTCATTAGTGGCCATGCTGCCTTTTGAAGCTCTGTTTTCTCTTCAGCTTTCACCCAACAATTTTCCCTTTACAGGTCACTGCCAGAGTTCATGCTGGGTCTGGTTGAGTTTCTGCCTCTAAGCTAGGAAACTGTGAGATCTGCTTTCAACCTGGAAAAAAAATCACGCATAAATGAGAATTGGCACAAGTTAACTCACTTGTTCCTTTAGTCCTTAATTAAGAGAATTGAGGAAGTGTTAATTTAATTACATTTAAACACCAAATTTAAAGTCAGAAGTCCACTAGCTTCAGGTACACGAAAGAATTGTGAGAAGAGTTTCAAAGACACCATTTCTATTTTATAAGCTGAATTCTTTAATCTCCTAGGGAGGATGATCTTGTGTATTTGATATAGTCCTGTTTTTTGAGTTCTTAGTGACTGAATCTAAGGACAAGCACCCTGTGGAATCACTAACCCACTTTTTACTCATTCAGAAATTAATACTACACTGATTTATAGTACTAATATGGAACACATATTATACTTATATTCATATAGAATATATAAAATGTGTATGCAATATAAAATATATAATGTAACTTTGAAAGCACAATAGGAAGACCATTGAAGAACTAGCGGACGGCTCACTGAGAAACCATTTTACAAGGGCACATGGTTTGGAGAAACTGGCCCCACCTGCCAACCTAATGGGCACCAGCATCCACCCCCAGGCAGGTGCTGTCTGGACTCACCTGTGCTCTGATCTGGGGCTGGGAAGCCACACTGTGAGTTGATGGCGGGATCCTAACCTTATAATTGCAACATGGGAACCCTGTTTTGTGCCAGGACAGCATCTAAAGTTGGCAGGTGTTGAAATGTCATTTTGAAACAAAAGAGCACCTATTTTATCTTTCCTATTTCCTGCTTCTAGTCTAATTGAGCTCTAGGCCAATGACATTTGGCAGGATGCCATGATGACACTTGACTCCCACTGGTGGAAATAGCGTGTTTGGTTAAAGGCTGAGAATGGATGATATTTGATCTCTAAATCCAAATATTGCCACAGGGGCAGGATTGCTGGAGCAGTTTTCCATCAGGCTTTGTCTAAAAACAGGTGAGTAACTCAGCACCTTGTCAGCATCTTCTCAGGCCTGGATCTTACATTGTTTGCATGGCTGTTCTCAGGCACTCAAATGTATTAACCTTACCCTAATCCTACATGGTGGGACCCACTAATGTCTTTTTCTCTTTTCCACAGTGGAAAAACTTGAAGGAGTTGTTGAAATACTCCTCCAGGATCGCATGAGTAGGATGGAGCCAGGTTGTCCAGCTCCAGGGTCTGTGCCTGCCACCTGGACAATTTGGAGCTGGGGAAGGAAAGGTGATAGCCAGGCACGGTGGTACATGCCTGTAATCCCAGCCTTGAGAGGCCGAAGCAGGAGCATCAACACAAGTCTAAGGCCAGCCTGGGCTACGTAATGAGAACCTGTCTTAAAAAAAAAAAAAAAAAAAAAAAAAAGATAGTTTCTACCTGTCACAGCAAATCAAGGACTTTGTATTTACTTTTGTGTGTGCTTTTTTTTCAGTATTGCTAATAAGTTTAAACTTTTTCTTAAAAAAATTTTTTTGTCTTAAAAATTAGGAAAGCAGGGGAAAGGAAGAACGGGAAAGTTGGTTCAGCTAATGGAAAGCATTTGTGAGAGGAGAGAAGAGTTCTTCTTTTTCTCCCACTGTCCCTGGTGGCCTCCCTGGCCTTGGCTGCACTGGCCTGGCACCTGTCCCTATGTAGGCCATCTAAGGTTTCAGCTTCTTCCAAGTGGTCCCAACTGCCACTCCTTGTCCCTGTAGCACTGTGGGGGAGAAAAGGAAGAGCCAATCACCCACAGCCTCGCTGTCCCGTTCAGCTTTCCAGCATTCCCATC